TGGCATGTGGTGCTGGGGATCGAACCGCGGTCCCTGTGCTTTGCCAAGCTTGTTTCAAGTAGGTGCTTTAGACCACTGAGCCATCTCTCCAGCCCCAATACCACATTAGTATCCATGAAACAAAAAACTCCATCACATTTCCTAAGAACTCCTATCCCAAGTAGATGATAACAAAAATAGTTACTTTCTATCACATGGTACCTGCCGAACTGATTTTTTTTCGATATTTAACACAAAGATATACTTAGGTATTATTAACTAAATGCAACCTCTTAAAGAACTCCTAGAAATACCTCTGGGAAGGGAGAAAGGGTTTTTGAATATGTCTTAAAATTACTGAGAAAAAAGCCATTCTAACATACATAACATGAAAATTTCATGTCAAATTAATGTCTGACATTTCCTTGGTTCATTTTCTGTACCTCTCATTCCTGAACAAAAGTTTTCATAAACAAAAACATTCAATGGTTATCTGTCTTCCTCACGTATCAGTGATATTTATTTGCTAGTGTATTTCCAAGAAAAATGAACTATAACAGGGTTCTACTTGTTTTTTTTTTGTTTGTTTGTTTGTTTGTTTTTACATTTCCTCATTAAAGGTTTGTAATATGACTGAAATGATTTGTGCGTAAGCCTCACTTTCAGCAGACTGAGGATGTATGTAATTGTCATGGGCACATCTAATGTCACCCAGGAACTTCATGCATTCCGAGGTGAAACTTTTGGAAGGTGACCGGATCGTAGGGGCTGGAGCTGACTTGCTGTTAGGAGACAGGGTCTGGTACAAAGAGGCAGTGGGGCTGTGGCCTGGAAAGGTTCATCTCCTTACAGAGCACCATGCTTCATTCTCTGCCTCCTGGTCAAGATGCCCCTCTGCCAGGCTGTCTGGTCTGAGTCAGCCAACCATGGACTTAAACCTTTACAAACCTCTAAAAACCTTTCCTCCTTTAAACTGTGGATGTTGGATATTGTGTCTTAATGACAATAAAGTGACTAAGACAATACTATATTTTAGGAAACTAAATTCTGCTTTCTTCATCATATTTTCTAACAAAGCAAACCTGTGTATTAGATATCTGCTATAACATACTCTTAAATTATAATTATTTATATAGATCACTGTACCAACTTAAAATGGTTAGTCACTTTAGAAGTTTCTGTTTAAACAGCAGGATTTGGGGCTGGTGAGATATCTCAGTGGTCTAAAGCACCTACCTAGAACAAGCTTAGCAAAGCACAGGGACCGCGGTTCAATCCCCCAGCACCACATGCCAGCCAACCCTGCCCCCTGGTGGGCTGAGCTGGCCACACACACACACACACACACACACACACAAATAAATAAATAAATTTTTAAAAAATAAAAAATAAACAGCAGGATTTTTAAAAAATCCACTATAGCTATGTAAACAGTAATCACCAATTTGTACTTTAGGAAAACTTAGTAAAAGAGAATCAGCAGATTTATTTTTATGTTTATAAAATCAGTCTCTCACCTGCTTCAACAGAAATTAAGGATCATCTGTTACTATCATCACTTCAGTCATTTAGTTTACTACCTAAGAGTCATGAATAATATTATTTGTAACTAAAATTTTAGATTGTTTTTTAGTACTATGGATTGAACTCAGGGAGTACTGACCTACATCTTGGCCCTTTCAAAACTTTTATTTTGAGACAAGGTTTTGCTATGTCTCAAGTTAGACCTTGAACTTGAGATCTTTCTGCCTCATTTTGCTAATTGTTAAATACATTTTTACATAGATCATTACACATAACATTTTATGTTTTATGTATCAAATAATGATATAAGATTTACTAAATGAAACCCTCAAGAAGCAACTCATAAAAGAAGTTTCTGGGAGATAGGTCCAATCCCTATGCTAACCACTATATCAGCAGTTAAGTGTGCAAACATTTTTGTCGCATGTTTACTGAGATACAAGTTATACATCATAAAATACATCTTTTTTAGGTATATAGCTGAAAAACTTCTAACAAACCTAGATAGTCACAAAACCACCATGACAAGCAAGGAGAAGAATATTTCCTCTATTCTCTCTCTCTTTTTAAAATTTCCTCTATTCTCAAAGTTTCCTACTCACAACACCAGATGACCACCAACCTAAGTTCTATCCCTATAGTTTTGAATTTTTCAGGATGTCTGATATAGCCTAGGTCCCAGATTGGCTTCATGGGCAATGGACTATGAAAAACTCCCACTCCCTAATACAGCCATACTCTACATAATGGTCACACAATGACAAAACTGTGTATCAGTGCATTTTGCAGAGCACATCATACCATTAAACAATGCATGGCTATAAATGAAAACACATCAAGGCTGGTGAGATGGCTCAGTGGTCTAAAGCACCTACTTAGAACAAGCTTAACAAAGCAC